TTTATCTTTATTTTTCAAATTAATTATTTTCAAATAAATTATAGTAATAAAATTATAATCAGGTTATAAATAAGTATTTTAAATTGATAAATATAAAACAAAATATTAAAATATAAAATATAAAATATAAAATATTATTATAATAAACACTTATAATTCATGTATTTATTAGCTTTTTGAAATATTATTATTCACAAATATTATGAAAAATTAATTAACTTTATATTATTTATATTTATATAAACTTTATATAAACTTATTTGACACACTATATATGATGAACGTATATTACAAATAGCTATTATATCTATTAAAATTATTATTTATAATGATATTCTATATATTTCTCAATTATTAGTAAAATAATATTATACAATTTTTATAAATATATCATTGTATTATATTATTTATATCATTATTAATTTGTAATATTTAAAAAAAATCTCAATCTAGCATTTTCTATCAACAGGGATCCATGAATTTAGAAGATGGCGCCACATATACAGCGGGACTACCATAGCATTGGAGATCCAAGTAGATACTCATTGAGGACATTCAGGCATGGTGAAAAACATTGTCTACAATCTCACAATTTTGACGTATCGAAAGTAAATGGAAAAGAAGATTTTTTTCGTTGTATGGGTCTTCAAATGAAAAGATATCAGTACAAATACAAAATGCCAAATAGTGATCATAAGATTAAAAAAATTAATATTCCTACTGGTGTAACATTACGTGATTGCCGTGTTATTATCCTGGGGGCGACATGTGAACTATGCGGGAAGTGTTTTAAATGTAAAACAGATTTGAATATACATAACTCGTTAAAACATCAAACACGTGAAAAAATTCATATAGCTATAAAAGGAACACAATGTACTGAAAACGATATTGATGTGTGGGAAGAAATTCCAAAATCTTTAAATTATACAATTGAATCTAGTAAAAATTTTATAACAAAACTTCATAAAAAATTACATTTAACTTTAAAAATAGGAAAGGAAGTTATCTCTAAGATATCAGTAAAACGAAAACATTTAAAAAGAAAGAAAATTGACATACATACACAAACTGAGCTACATTGTGAAAGTGAATTAATTACAGGTGAGAATGAGTATGAAAGTGTCGTTTCTCGTATCGATCCTTCTGTGTTCTGTAATAGTCCTTGTCTGCGTTGCTCCTGTATACACGTGGTAGAAAGTTCGAATCGATATGTGGCTGGCAACATTGTAGCAGATGAGCAAGTAGTTTACGGAAACAATATAATGCAAGAAGAAAATCATATTTCGAATAGACTATCATGTACAACATGCGCAAACGAAAAGTGTAGCGTTGTTCATGAAGACATTTCTTCGTCACATGTGAAATATGCTCATAATAAAACGAAAGATGAGCTACAAAATGATAATTTATCAGAAAGTACAGATATTTCGTCAAAAACAATTAGACAAACTTGTCTGCAAAATAAAAACGAAAATAAGAAAGAAACAGACATTAATGCAAATCAGATACAAAAAGATTTTATTATAAATGAGATAGAAAAATACGCGTCTGAAAACTTACAGGATATTTCTAATAAAATACAAGTAATAGTGCCATTAATTATGCCAATAATCGTGCCAAATACAAATGTTTCAAATTCACCTATTAAATTAACAATACAATCAATGTCAATAGAACAAAAAGAACAACAGCAATCATTGCAACCAGAAGAAGGACAACAACACTATCTTCAAGAACAGTTGCAAGAAAAACAAAAACAATCGCAACAATATTCACAGCAACAACAAGATCAACAAATGAAACAAAAACAAAAACAATATTTGCAAGAACAATTGCAAAGACAACAAAAACAATCGCAACAATGTTCACAACAACAACAAAATCAGCAAATGAAGCAAGAATCACAGCAACATTTGCAACAAGATCAACAAATGAAGCAAGAACAACAGCAACATCTACAACAAGACCAGCAAATGAAGCAAGAACAACAGCAACACCTCCAGAAACAATTGCAAGAACAACAAAATCAGCATCAACAACTAATACAAGAAAAACAAATGAAGCAAGAACAACAGCAACATCTGCAACAAAACCAGCAAATGAAACAAGAACAACAGCAACATCTCCAGGAACAATTGCAAGAACAACAAACTCAGCACAAACAACTACTACAAGAAGAGCAAATGAAACAAGATCAGCAGCAATATCTACAGGAAAAACAACACCAACTTAAGAAAATTTCTATTCTTACCATCAAAGACGATGTTAATAACGAAATAGAAGAAGTATTACGAATTGTTAGAGGACGTATCACTAATACAGAGATTAATCATGAATCACCAACTCGATTCGAACAAGAGATGTTAGTACAAGACGCCATTAGAGATATGAAGAGAATGGAAGCGCAAGGCTGGCACTTGCTAGAAAAGAAAATAAACGGATCTATAATGAAAAGAAAACGAAATATAAAATCTAATATCAAATGTAACAATGCAAATGATGAATGTGCCAAAAGGAAGAAAAATATCGTAACTGAATCAAATACTGAATATAAAAATTTAAACAAAGAAAAATATATTTCAAATGTAAAGGAACATACGAAAATACAAAGTAACAATAATATAGTATCATTATGTGCGTCGGATAATATAAAAGAAAATTTAATGACATGTAATGAAAATATCAATACAACATCTGAAATATTACGACAATATAATATTAATTATTGCAATGATATATTCGAGATAAAGAACAATACAGAAAATATTCGAGAATCTATTAGCCGATTTCTTGCCCCATGTTCCGGTGGAATGGAAAATAGAAGTAACGTACCGGTAGTAATAGATCTAGTCAACGGTACCGATGAATAGCAATGGAAAACGGAAATGATGCGTCCGGTGAATAATGATAGCTTTATAAAAATGATATTGAACTCTGAAAAATAATGATGGATTCGTTTATGAAACGAAAATGTTAAAATATATTTGTTATGAATAATTTTTTAATTTTTAATGTTGATTTTGAAATTAATTTTTTGTTATACTTTTTTTCTGATGTGTCTGATTGAATGGAAATTGGTTAAATTATTAAATATAAAAGATATTAGTGATTAATTTTTATCGCGTAATAATATTGAAAAATTCTGAAAAATTTTTGATGACGAGATTGTTAAATGGAAATTTGTATAATAGTATACAAATATAAATAGTATATTTTTTGTACAAATCATTTCCAAAACATGAATTTACAAAGAACAATATATCGTCAGTATTATTTCATCATAAAATATGAAATATATGAGATCTCATTATTTATGAATAATAATGCCAATAGGATTTCAATTTTTAAAAAATTGAATACTTTAAGAATAATTCAAAGAACTGCTGTTTTAATTGATAATATTTTAATTGATCTTTCCAAAATTTTTCTCAATTGCAGTCATAATATAAATTATTATTAGTACAAATAATGATAATTTTTTTTTTTTAATAGTTGAATTTATCATTTTTATTTTTTATTTCCGTTTAGATCAGACGTATTTATATATGTATTGATGTTGAATAAGTATGAGTGATATTTCTTAATAAGTATATAATTATACAGTTTAGCTGAATTATACAGTTATTTAGTTTTAATTATTTCATTACATAGCTTTATTTTATCATAAAAAAAACGAAAAGTCAGACGAAGGAGTAATATCAAAAAAATAATACATTTTTTATGTTAAAAAAAAAGGAGAATATATATAAAAATGCATCCATAATAATGAACATACCGTCATTTATCTTTTGTTGATGTAAATATATCGCAACGATAGGCAATTAACATAAGTGAACTAGTTAAAAAACTACTTTTTTATGAATAGGTAACAGATCTGAAATATTTCAACTATATCGAAACATTTCGCAAAAATCATTACATCATTTGTTATCTATTCGTAAAAAGTTTGAACAATTCGAAGAAATTAAAATACGTATTGATAATATCAAATTATATAAGCTGTTATTGTAATATGTTTATATTAATTTTATATATATATATATATATTAATAAAAAATAAATAATGGTCATATGTTTGTTAGGGACGCATTTATATAAATGAAATTCTATTTAATAACAGTTTTTTTTTTTAAATAATTTACATTACTTTTTCAATCTTCCCCGATCGATTTTTTATTTTATTTTAATGATAAAATAAAACTATAGTAAAATTGAAACTGAGAAAACTGCATAATTACATTATAATGTTTAATTGTTGTGTTCTATTCTATTGTACACGAATCACAACAATAGTTACATTATTAAGTAAGTAATTATTATTGCCAAATATTATAATACTGTAAAATGATATTACTTTTATATATTTATTACATTCTCTTGGAAAAAAGGAAATGAGATATGCTTTTTTCTGTACAAATAATATCGTATAATAAATAAGTGTAATAACCACGCTAAATCATTTTATATTATGTTACTGTTTAATGTGCGATATATATATATTAATAATTTTGTATTTTTTGTAATAAATGTTCTTAAAAAAAAAATTATTACACAAATTATTCAATAGAATAAATACTTTTCAGAAATTTATGAAAAATATTTTTAAAAAATATTCATATTTCGACATTCCAATTACATGTGAAGTTAACATTGCGTGACTTAAAGTGCCGAAGAGGATTTATTCTAAGATTTAAAAAAAAAAATTTCTATAATTTAATATATTATAGATTATACATTAATTATTAATATATTATAGATTAGATAGACAGTAATCTACATAAAATTACTAAAAAAATGTTAAAAAACAAAAACGATTTTTGAATCATACAATTCTTATTTCATACTTTATCGATGATCTTATCGAAGAAATTTGCAATTTATTTATACTTAAGTCCTACTTTTAATAATCATTATATTTTCACGACATTTTAATACCATAGGAATTTTGTTTATCTTTACACGAGATCGATGCATTTGTAAAGTATTGAGAACAAAATGATTAATGATGACAGTTGAAATCAGCAATGTAAAGAATGTTAATTCAGGCCAATAGAAAAATTTCATTATCATAATAATAACTAAAAAAAAAGTTATTATATAAAATAACAATTGAAGTTTTCTAAACTGATTAAACAAGTTAATAATCTTCCTATTTTTCGAAATTCTTTCACGTACATCATACATTGAAACAATTATAACGAAAGATATACTACTTTTAGCCATGATATAGAAAACATGTAAAATATATTATCGATTATTAAATACGATATTATTGAAATTAATATGCATATTGTGCAACTTGTTTTTCGAAATAAACGTATGATTATATAAAAATTAGCAAGTGAAATTTTATTTATTTATCGACATTATCATGTAATAAAGAAAGAATAATATATCATAGTATCTTTACAGAACAATGGAGATAGTGATTTAAGATTTAGAAGCTAGAAATATTTCATTGTGACAATATAAGAGAAATATAAATCAAACAACAGCACATAATCAAAAGACTAACAAGAATGTTGAATCGCAATAATAGTGAAGATTGTTAAAAAATTCATATTTGTTGCAAGATCTCTTCTTCAAATTTTTAAAATTTTTTTAATTAGTTTAACACATAAGAGAGGAAAATAACAGGTATATTTAAAGGTCAGTTATAATTGAAAATGATTAAACATAAAAATATTGAAAATCTAATATTCTTATTTTAAAATCAAACCATTCATGATAAAAAGAGATTTTTTTTTATTGATTTTATAGTTTCCTTCTCATCAATTTTAATAATTTTTAAATATATTGTAAATATATTGTCTGTTATAGGATATTAATTTCCCTCTCAAAAAATCTTAATGAGCTTGAAATATATTGTATAGAATTTCATTTTTAGTTATTTATTCTTTCTATTACAGAATCAATAATCGGTTTTAATTTTCGAATTATTCGCAAAAAATTTTTATTTATCATTGAATTCTACCTATAGGTATGCATCTGTGACAGAGTACGCGTTACTATGCGACCGTCGCTTAAAGATGGCAACCATATGTATGTATAACGGGTGAGTTTATCAAAAATCTATTTTTTTATGAATTTAAACAAGACTTTCTTTAAAATTTTCTTTGTGATGTATATATACAATAGAAAAATTCACTTCAATTATTGCAATTATTGCAATCACTATTATTTTATATTTTATTATCATATTCGAAATATCCAAAGGATCCATGCACCCGTTATATATAAATAGTTGAGAAGTAGTATACTGTTGCACGTGCTTCTACGAATGCATACATCATGAATGCATATAGATAGAATTCAAAATAATAGTATCGAAAATTTTTTGCAAATAGTTCGAAAAATTTGATAGATCGTCAATTGATGAAAGAAAAAAATTGTTCAAAACGATGTCCTTTACCATATATATTAACATCATTAAAATCGGTGAAGAAAAAATCAGATTTATCTTGAATATGTATAATATATATAAATTACTTATTGATTTAATAACAAAAATTACATGTAAAACGTTTTGATTGTGATTGTTATTGTAATAATTTAAAAATGAAAGAATCAAAGAAAGACTTCCACAAAAAAATTAAGAAAAAAAAAAAGAAAGAATAAAAGAATGTTATAAAATAGAGAATATTTTTAGAGAATAGATCGTGTCAGCAAAATGATTGAATTTCTCACGATCGTTAAACCTCTCGATACAAATAAGTGGTTCGTCAAAGTTTTAACATGTGCGAGAAAGCCCACGTGTTACCGGCTTTTTCTGAAGAAGCTTCTTCCGGTCGTGTTAAAGCGCGACGTAGCTGAAAATCTTCGATTGGAGAACGTGTGCTTTCGATAATTGCTGCTTGATCAGCAAAAGTCAATGAATTGGCACATGTAAATATATGTATATATCCGTTTAATTTATGTCACACATAATATTTAAGACACAATTAAAATTGTAAGACGAGACAACGCATTGCACGACTGCCTGGCATGAACTGATAAGCCCTGGAGAACCGCATGGCTTGCCTCTCTCCATCTCCCTTCAAGGAGATTCGATCTTGCTTTCCATCTTCCGTCATCGAGGAGAAGAGACAATTACTGTTGATCGTGAATTAGCATATGTATGCAGAGAAAGGAGTTTGTGCGTTTCATTGGAATTTCGATCTTGTTCTTTTCGTTTGTTTGTAACAGAAACTTCTGCACTATTATCTTATCAAAATCCTAATAATAGTAAAATTTATAAAATTTTGAAAAACAATTTTACCGAAAAAATATAATTTTTTTGAGATAAAAAATATAATTGTATTGGAAAATGCCTGATTTCAGAGAATAAATATGACGATTTTAAATTTATTTAGAACAATATTTATTATTAGCGCTATTATTTTAATTTTATTATATATGTTACGTTTTGTTTTATATATAACATTACTGGAGAAAGTAATTCTATGCCAAACCGCACAAACTTGAACACTTTCTTTGTGCAACAGAATCATTGTAATACATCCAAATGATCTTTTCATCGGTCTTTCATTATCATTGTGAAAAACTAAATAGTAATTAAACTTATACGTGCTTAATCAGGAAGTTTCGATATCGAAGCGATATTAGGTTACCATTCTATGTGTAATCTTCTAATGAAAGTTATATTTACAAACATGTTTTAAAAATTATATTTTTTATAAATATAAGTCTTAATTTACTTATTTTATTAAATATAATAAATTATAAATTATAAATTAATATAATAAAATAATTAAATTAAAAAAAGTTAATATACTCTTAATTTATTTATTTTATTAAATATAAAAAATAATTATTTCATTATATAGAAAATTTTCTATGAATTCATATAATTGAATATGAATTGAATTATTGCCAAATAAATAATTATTAGGAAATAAATTTTCAAAAAATTATCCTTTTTATTCCAAATATAAGAGTTTTAAAATAATTGTAATTGAAAAACTTTTTTAAATTATTCTATTTATTTTATACTTTCTTATTTTTTCACAATTTTTTATAAATATATAAAGAAAATAAAAATATATACCTTAATATTGAATATTTTCTCCTTTAAAGTTTTAATTTTTAAAGATTAAAGATTTAAAGATTTTAAAGATTAAAGAAAGATTAAAGAGATTAAAGAGAGATTAAAGATTAAAGATTAATTTTTAAAGATACTTTTTATAGTATAAAAAAATTTGTTTTAATTGATTCTATCTTTATACATGTTACATGCGTTTAATATAATGAGACATTACATATTACAAGATATTTAAGCAAAAAGAGACAATAATATATATTATTATAGTATTATTACATACATAATGTACGTATACATACGACTATGAACAATCATAATGATTGAGTTAAAACAAATATACCATAGATTGTTAACGAAACATTAAACAGACCTAAAACATCACATATCTGTTAATTTTTTTTTGATAAAGATTTTGATAAAGATTTAAACAGATGCTCGTTAGAGAATAATTTATAATGATAAAATGACTAAAAATTAAAGATCAGGCGATGAAAGAAATTTTTTCAAAGAATACATTGCTTATAGCATGCTAATGTAACATAATTATATCAAAAATAAAAATTTAATCATTTTTTTCTTTCTTCACGTGTACTTTTATATTTCTTAATTTACTAAATTGACTAAGGCATTCCTCAATCGTTAAACATAAATTTTCCTCATTCTTCTCCATATTAATTGTTAATTCGAGAAAAGAGAATAAACTTTCCAACTCATGGCATGGCCATGATTCTGTCACTTGAACAATTTTTCGAAGCAATTGTTCCATTTGAAAATCAGTCAATTTCTCATTGCTCGATGTCGATAAATTGAGTGGAGAATTTCTTATACGTTTCGACGATGGACCTTCACCTGATGCACTATTCTTTCTCTTAAGATTAATTTCTGAGTAAAGAACCAGATTTTTGTTTCTTTAGTTAAGAACAACCTTGTTTCTTAGTTAAAAAAATTGAAAATATTAGATTGATCGTGAAAGTCGTATCACTATTATATTAGATAATATTAAGAAAAGTTTCGTAGCGGGAAAGAAAGATGCAAGAAATTATATTATATACAAAAAATGAAAATAATAGAATTTTCGATCAATTTATATAATAAAAAACAATATTAAAATATAGATATTAAATAATAATAATTTTATACTTGTCTTGGAATTGATCATCACATGAGCTGATCGTACACTGCAAGGTTTGTTTCGAGTTCTGAGTTTACTTCTTCGAAAAGATACCATCTCTTCTATCATTATGGCAATATTATTAATATTTTATGAGATTTTTTTAAATTTTAAATAAAGATATTGAAAATTTCATTTTACTCACGTGCTAAAGGATTTTCCATGATATCGGTTCGACCAGTTAATTTCCGTTTTCTTCCTACTTCTTTCGTTTTTCTTGAATTCATAATTTGTTCAAAATCAACTAGATAAATAATAAATTTATAATTAAATATTTTCATTATATTTATAAAAAAATAATAATAATAAAATAATAATAATATTTAATTTTTTAATATTTAAAATTATTGATTTGTAACGTATATTTAAATATGTATATCATAAAATGGTATAATAATAAAAATAATTAGCTATTTTAATAAAAGGCAATATTAATTTTTCTAAAAGTATATATTTTAATAATTATAAATATACAAAATATTATACCTTGTGAAGAACTATTAGATTCGAAATCATACGCCGAAGGAACAAACAATTGCTTGAAAAATAGTTCACGATGTTGCTCACGAGGAGATATAACTTCAAATATTTCACCTTGATATTCATCGAACAAGGATACAATCTAAATTTAGATAACATGAAAATGAAAAAAAACATTCAATTTAAATATGTTTATAATCGCTATTATATTTTGCATTAATAATTGTTAAATTAATATCGATATCATTTAGAAATGTAAATATATTTAAATTTATAATAAATTTAATATATAATTTTTCTTACATCTGCAGGTAAATCTTTTCGTGAACAATTAGCCGTAACCATGATTAACATATTGACCGATCGATCTAAACTCTGCATCAAAGATGTAAAAACAATACGTGCCGCTTCATCTACTAAGTCCCACCAGGTTAAAATATCAGGAATATAAATCAATGATGGTAAATTGCGTCGAGCCATCTTCATTTTCTATTATTTAATTGATTAAAATGATTATGATTATGATTCAATAATAAAACTATAAATATAAATATTCAAACATTGTAAAAAACAAATATTAATTATTACAAAAAATAATCATGTGAGACATTGAAACAAAAAAAAATTTAAATAAAAATTTGTTTATTCTTATTTTTTATGTAAATAAAAAATATAAAATTTCTATAATTTTATTTTAACATTAATAATTTTTCTATGATAATATAATATATATAATATATAATTTTATGTGATAATTACTTGAATCAAAGCTTCTTCTGCAGCTTTTCCTGTTTCTTCAAACAAAGTCGTAATATCTAACAAATGACAAGGTAAATGCTCTAAAGAATGAAGTAATGCTGGTCCCAGATGACGAGTGTGAGAGTCATCGTCACCACACAATAAAATCCTAGGACAGCTGTTTGATCTCGATGCAGCTTTACCAGTGCTACAAAAAAAGAACTTTTAAAATTTTTTATATTTTAAAAGCCATTATGACTTTATGATTATTAACTCTAACTTCATAATAGCTAAAAACTTGGCTTGCAGTAATTTTGTCAAAGCATTTTAATAAAAATCATAATTATATATCAATTTTTTACTTACATTACATTGTAGCAAAAAAATTTAAATTTATAATTTTATTAAATTTATATATAAAAAATTTAAATTAAATCTTTATTACCTTCATAAACTTGAACTCTTTGCGATTTCTAAATAGAAGTTATAAATTTTTTTTGTTTAAATTTAAATTTAAATGAATATTTCATAAGAAATAATGATTATAGAAAATATATAAAAATTTCTGCTTTATTACTTATTAAGTTGGACAATACTCACATGACGTTGCAAGTCAACATTCCTGTTGGACAAAGAATTTCAAGCTGTGACAAAATGTATGACAAATTGTCTTGGAGTAATGGTTGAATTTTATACGATAAAGATTTAATTGGGGCGATTGAAACACGATGGGATGCTGGTAGAATATTTTGTTGTGCTTTCAAAAAATCTTGTTTCTCGACCTATTACAATATTAATTGTATTCAATATCATTTCATTAATATTTATTTAAAAATAATCTATTTCAATTAAAATAACTTAAGAAATGAAATAATTATAATTTAGATTAATTTTACATTATAGATAATTCTATGAAGATATAATATTTTTTAAAAATAGAATTATATCTAGATAGAAATATCTTAAATATTATCAAAATTATATATTCTATAAAATATTTTATAATTTCTATAATTTTTCAAATATTTTTACAATAACCACATTTCTTTGATTAAATATTACAAGTAGCAATCATTTTATCGTTATTGATAAATAAATTAGTTATTTTATGACACATAGTATAGTATGTTAATAAGAATGTTTTAATCAATAAAAGATTGATTTAATCTGCAATAAGTATGTATCTTTTGCTAACGATTATACTTCTTCGTAAAAAATTTTTATGAAATATTATGATTAGAAGTATTATTAAAATATATCATGTATATATGATTAAAATTAAAATAATATAATAAATATATTATATTTCAATAAAAATTGAAATAAAAATCAACGTTAACTTTACCGAAGCTTTTTATAGAAGCATTTTTATGTTTTTAATAATTAAAAATAAAAAATCTAAAACAAAAATAATAAAACAATTCGAAATTTCAGCTTCTAATATTAAACTTCTAATATCAAACTTTACTACATAAAAATATCGATCAATTAATACCTTTGAATTTTGTATTAATAAATACAAAACTTAACATTAACATTCTATAAATGGTTTTACAAAAATTATTTTAAATAATTATTTAAATTATTTAATGAAATCTTGTTCTTATTACTTTAAGATGCCGCTCGTTAATTTGATATTTCGCTTTGGATGTATATATTTCCGGATAATTTCTTCGAACGCAGCACATTACTGCTTCGGCGCAAAGAGCTTGTAAATCACTTCCGCAAAATCCAACAGTTTTCGATGCAAGATATGCCAAAAATTTCTGTGGTGGTTTCTGTTTCCAACTTTTTATGTGAACCTATTATCGTATTATCATTTTTTATTTTTAAAATATTTTATTTTCAAAAATAAAAGTTTAAAAAAAAAGCTTTTTGCAGTTAATACCGAGAGTATTTCTTTTCTCGCGGTATAACATGGCAACGGAAAATACAATTCTCTATCGAAACGGCCAGGTCTTCTTAAAGCTGGATCTATAGCGTCGATTCTATTCGTTGCTCCAATTACTATGATCTCTGAATTGTTCTCTAAGCCATCCATCAAGGCCAAGAGAGTGGAGACAATGCTGGCGTGTACAAAGTCTTGACGACTGGATCTTACTGGTGCTAGACCATCAACTTCGTCAAAAAAGATTATACAAGGTTTCGATTGCTGAGCCTGTAACATTGATGTAATAATGAATTTTATCTTTTTGAAATATATATAAATATAAAATTGTTATAAATATTAATTTTTTATTTTATATAATTTACAAATATTTAAAATTTAAAATAAAATAGGAAATTCTTATAATGGAATGAACAATGTCTATCGAACAATAAAAGAAGTAAATCGATAATAGCTCTTCAAACAAAGATAAATATATTTATTCATAATTTCCATTTTTAAAATTTTTAAAAAAATTTTTTAAAAATATTTTATCATTATAATTTTATAATCTATGTATTTTTAAATTTTCTATTTTAATTTCTATTAAAATTTCTAAATAAATTTCAAATAAAACGAGAATATTCTGATATTCATTTGACTTTTCTCTTACTATTATTTCATATAACATGCAAGTTGAAAATCTCCCTTATTCGCTTAATTATTATAAATAATTGTAAATTAATAAATTATCTTTGTTAATAATTTTTAATTAATATCTTAAACTAAAGAAAATAAAATAATTGTACTATTAACCAGGAAAAAAATCTTCTGAAGCTTTTTCTCGCTTTCGCCAACCCATTTGCTAAGACAATCGGAACCCTTACGAGATATAAAAGAAACCTTCCGTTCAGCGTTACTGCATTCCACAGCTAAAGCACTAGCAACCAGAGTCTTTCCTGTGCCTACGAAACAGAGAATGTCAATCGGGAATCTTGTTTCGAAAAATGTTTCGTTTTATTACGAACCGTAGAACGCTTTATTTTACCAGGAGGCCCATAAAAGAGCAAACCCCTCGGTGGTTTCAAGTTGAACTTCGCATAAATGTCACCGTATATAAGCGGAAATAGAACCGTTTCTTTCACTATGCGAATATGCTTCTCCAATCCTCCGATACAAGAGAAATCCTTTGTGCAGGACATTTTTCGTAACGAAAATTACACTCAAACTTTTATTTCGCATACCCGACAAACGTATTCTCATTTAGGTATCACGATTTCGTATTTTTATAATTGATCCTTGAATTTTTATCCAGTAAAATCCAGTTCGACAACTTAAATCGTTAACCATATATATGCATCGTGTTTTTCTAGATATTTTACTGGAATAATTTTATGTTGCGTTTAATGATTGATTCAAATCGATTCACAATGTAATTTTATTGTATTTTAAATGTTTCATTGATGCGATTATAGCGAAACATGCGAATCGTGTTCCTTTTTGGAGCAATGTTCGCGTAAATAATATATATAATAAATTATAAGATTCTCTTTAAAATAAAATAGATATTACTTTTTATGAAATTTAATATCGTTTAAGAAAAAAGTCAATATAAAATATAAAAAAATATTTATTTTAAAGTGAATTATTTTTTATTATTTTATTATAAAGATATATATTTAATAAAATATATAATTTATAATATGTCGTATTTAATTATTGTGATATTATTTAATTATAAATATAAAATAAAAATATAAAAAATATAAAATATATGAAAACAACATAAATAATTATAAAATTATATTTCTTTTATATTGTTATATAGCATGAATGTTTAAAATGTTTAAAAAGAACGAATTAAATTTACTAAAGAATTACATGATTTTATTAAAATTACTTATAAACTTTTATAAATTTTAAAAAATAATTTTTATTGTTTTTATTGTTAAATTTTTATTATAAAATAGGATGTTAAAAAGTAAGACAAATAGTTATATTATAAATTTCAATTTATTATGCTACAATGAATGACAATAAAACGTATTACCTGTATGGTAAAATAAATAAGGCAGTGTATGCTCTCTTGTTTTGTTCCTATATCTTCTACATATCTGCATATACTGTCTGTCAAAGATCATATTGTATGAACAATTCAACAAAAATTTTATTGAATTCGTAGGTCAATATAATCTTTTACAAAAAACAGTATTACAATCTTTATTATTTGAATACTTTAGCAAAGTAATTATAGTAGTTTAAACGGCAGTGGTTACGAGAACCTCTCGATTAATACAATGTACATATAATTACATAGTTTTTTTTATCTTTTGCAATATTATTGGTAATACAGAGATGATAGTACATTAGAAAATAGCACCAGAAATTATTCTTGGAATAATTACATGTTTTGGATTTCTTTATCATAAAATGGAATGTAAAATACATATATTAACAGGAAAGTCACAATAATTCAATTAATGTTTTTTCTTTTATATAATCAGTATTAATTGTATATGTGATTTTTCTGTATCATTTACTATTTATTGAAGTTTACATTTGAATTTTTATCGTTGAAATATTATACAATTTCTTTGGCAAATATCAGCGATATTTATTTGATGGATATATTTGAATTAAATTTAAATTAAAAACTTATTTGTGAATGCTACATATTATCAAATTATATAAAATTGATAAAGAAAATATCTGCATATAGACTATATCATTAAATAACAGAAATTTTAAACAAATTTTTATATCGCTGAAATTTTTATTATTAATATTTTGAAAACTAGAAGCAATATTACAGCCTGTTTTTAGTATTAATTTATTTATTTTTTTTAGTATTAATTAAATTCCTTGCATTTTTAAGATAAATATTATAAATTATATTATGTAATGGTAACAACATTTTTATTAACTTAATATTTTTTATCTATTTTAATATGAATACCAATATTTATTTAGTTTTCATAATGTGGCACTAATTTGCATAATGTTAATTTTTCTTATCATAAATGGTGATATACCTGAGCAAGAGAAAGTTTATTATTTTAATTACCATTTTTACTAAGTTTTGAAATATCTTGGTATAAAATTAAATATAACAATTTGACTAAAAGTATTTTCTTATCATTAAAATTTAAATTAATTTTAAATTATGCAGAAACTTAAACTAAAATTTATTAATTTGTAATTTAATTCTCATAACATCATATTCATTTCATTTAGCTACCATGTTGTCAAAAAGTATTTCAAAATTTCAAAATTATTAACAAATATTTCTAAATTTTTTTATATAAAAGATTTTCAAGCAGTTTTTTGCTCAATATATCTCAATTTTATACAAAATAATATATA